CACCAGGGCCAGCAAGCAGCTCTGAGCCATCCCCTTTCCCCTTGTAGCCACCTGCTCCAGCTGCATAGCTGCTGGCTCCAGGGGGTGCCAGGAATGGAGCTGAAGCTAAGACAGAACTTAAGTATTTGCCAGGGGCTCCTGGAGAGCCAACACCAGGAGGGCGGCCAGTAGCAGGCGGTGACTGGAGGGGTCGGATGATATGAGATGGGCTAGCCTCTCCACCACCTCCCAAAGAACTGGGTCCCCAGCCACCTCCATGGCCTGAGAGAGCTGGAGAGTGGCCAGTACTGTAGCTGAGGGAGGGGCTGGCTGTGGGGAGTCCCTGTGAATGGGCAGCTGGCCCAGGGTAAGGCTCACCCTGTACTCCATAGAGCTGGCCCTGAAGCTGGTCTGGAGAGTAACTCTGACAGGTAGCTAGGCCAGGAGGTGGGGGACCACTGGGGGGCTGCGGGGGCCCGCCAGAATAGCTAGGGCCTTTGCTTAAGTCCTGTGCCTGACCCCCTCCAAATCCTTGCCCATAGCCCTGGGGTCCCAGAAGCCCTTGGGGCTGACCAGGAGAATACGCCTGGCCCCCAGCCCCTCCAGCCCCAGAGGCCTTTCCTGCAGCGTAAGCTGCTGGTCCACCCAGGCTCTGACATTTGGGTGTGGCAGTAGATCTAGGTGGTGGAGGCCTGGTGGCACCCCCTGTGGCTGGCCCATAACCCCCCTTACTTGTCTTGTAACCAGGGGACTGGATAATAGGGCGGTAGCCACCACCACCCCCAGCCCCACCTCCCCCAGCAGTCTCCGGGCCTGTGGCCCGGCCAGCTGCTCCAGCTGTGGCTCCACTGGGCCCACCCTTGCTAGGTTCTCCAGCACCTGGAGAAGGTTCCCCACCTCCCAGAGGGCTGCAAGCCAAGCTGGCCCGGTGGCCCATGGAGGGATAGCTGCCTCCGCAGCTCAGATAGTGCTGTAGGGAGTGGGTTGGGGGAGGGGGTGGCGGAGGCTGCGCACTGGCTGGCCGCTGGTAATGTTTGATGACCGTGTCCTGTCGGGGCAGGGCTCGCTCAGGTGGCGGACCAGGGGCAGCACCCGAGAAGTTGTAGAGCTGAGGGGAGGACGGTTCGGCAGCGGTGGCAGCAGAAGAAGAAGCCAGCAAATTGAACTGAGTTGGGAGGTGGCGGGGAGGAGGAGGTGGATCTGGGGGGCCAGGACGGTAAGGGGGAGTCTGAGCAGGGCCAAGGCCAGCAGGCCCCAAGACACCACCCCCTGCCAGGCGCTCAAAGCCCAATGAAGAGGGCACTGTGGGTGCCTGCGAGGGTTTCAGATGGAGCACATCGTGGGGAGACAGGAGCCCATTAGCAGGAGGACTGAATGGTGGATCCTGGAGGCTGAGAGATGAGGGCACTGGGAAGGGGCGGCTGCCAAAGGAAGCAGGGTGCTGGTAGGCAGACAGGGCAGAGGAGGACGGGAAGGTGCTGGAGCCCGGGAGGGCACCAGAGATGAAGAGTTCCGTGGGGCCCGGTGTGTGCATGGCTAGGGATGAAGGAGAAGACCACAGGTCAGAGTGGACCATGAGACAGCCCTTCTCCAGCCCTCTGGGGACTAGCACTAGACTTACCTGTTTGCCAGGAAGGGCTTCGGAACTGGGAGAGGAGAGAGGAGGCAGAGGGGCCAGGCTGGGGGCCCCGGGACTCCAGGGCAGAGATGAGGTTCATGACGGAGGCGTCAGGCCCTGCTGAGCCTGCGTGGTGGAGGCCAGTGTCAAAAAGTCCGGAGAGGCCTAGCAAGACACAAGAAGACAGGTCAGCCAGGCCGGGTGGGCCCATGCTGGGGGTCAGAGGGGAAGGGAAAGCCCTAAGCCAAGTGCAGTACAGAGAACCAACGGCTGAAAAGCAGACAAGCAAATGGACACTGCGACTTTCAATTCAGAGGCTGAGGCAGGAGGATCAGACCTTCAAAAATAACCTGAGTAACTTAGTGAGACCCTGTCTCAAAATTGACATAAAGAAAGGGAAGAATGGAGGGAGGGAAGGATGGAGGGAAGAAGGTGTTGCTAAGGGCTACATAAGGTTCTATTCCCAGTAGCCACAAAAAGTCAAGGGGTAGAAAACAAGGAAAGAGTCAACCAGGAGAACCAGGGGTCAAACAGGACTGGTTTAAAAATTGGAAGGGAACCAACCAGGTGTGGGCCACAGTGATGGTGGATGAGGTAGAAAAAAGGGGGCGGGCCAAAGAATTGGAGCCAATGGGGGGGAAAAAAGGGAACCAAGGAGTCAAGAGGATCAGGCAAATTCATGGGGAAAGAAAGGACTGGGATGGGCTGGAAAGAGGAGGAAAAGCCTGGAAGAGAAGGTGGGATTTGGGGGCCCCTGATGGGTAGCAGCCAATAGGAGTGAAAGGGGCGGACCCATAAAGGGCCTGACGATTCCGATATAAAATGAAGCACGGACCAGGAGCCTCAGAGGCAACCAATCAGAGGAAAAGTGGCAAAAAAAAAAAAAAAAAGGGCCAGGACCAAGGGCAAGGCCAATTAGCAGGGGCGGAACTTTCAGCAACCAATCAGGTGTCTTGGAGGGCGGACCGTCCCAGCCCTCCGGGATGGGGGCCCGTACCTGCCGGGTGGTGGTTGGTGGCATAGCTTTGTAGTGGGTGGGGGGCCGCGTAGGCCTGGCGGTGCAAGATGTCGGTTTCTGGGTGCGAGGTCCGGGAGCTGCCGTAGACCAAGCTGAGAGCAAGGGAGAGATGTCAGAATCGCCTCTCAAGCTATCCTCTAAGAAGAGGGCTGGGGGAACCTCCCACTTGAATGGAGTTGTTACTCCAAGGATCCCTGAGAATCCCTGAGCACACCTGGGAATCCAGCTTGCTCCATGGAGGGAGCAAAAAAAGGACCCTATTCTGGAACCCTTGGGAGTCCACTTCTGCAAACACAGACATGCAGGGACACAGGAAGTCAGGGGAAGAGTCTACAATAGCCAAAGTGAAAGGCGAGGTCCTCTCCTGAACCCTCCTCCGACACAACCTAACAGGAACACATGGACACCCCAGGCCCCACTAGAACAGCACAGACCCTGTATTAGGGAAAGGATCCAGCCAAGCCAAGAGAAGGAGGCAGCTTGCGTCCCAAACGGCAAGGGGAGAAGGTGGAGAGGGGACAGGACTCAGGGAAAGTCCCAGGTACAAGTACTGACATGAATTCGTACATCCCCAGGGGGCTGAGGCAGAGCCAGGTGCATGTACATACAGGAGTTTAATTCACAAGTGGGGAAGAAAAGGTCCTGAGTGTCAAGTCCCACTCGAAAAATTTGTACTCGCTGGGGAAACCCAAGTGTTGAGGGGGAGGGGCTGAAGGGCAGGTGAAGAGTGAGGACTCAACACAAATTAAACTGCAAGAGGCAGGTTCGGAGGTGAACATGCCGCTAGCCACGCGTGAAAAGACCCACGCTCACACACGCAAACACAAACGAGGAAAAGATCCTACTCTACCCTTACAAGGGTCCAAATCCGTGGCCCCGGGCCAGAGGGCAAACAGTACACCATCAACCAGGATTCTCAGCTTTCAGGAAGGTGGGGAGCAGAAGGGGGCGTGTCCCTAATCCCAGGACCCCCCAACACACAGAAACCAGATTAAGGGGGCGGGGCCCCCTGCCCACTCTGCGCGCGGAATTTCTTGGAGGGGGGAGGGCCCGAGTGGCCCAGCCTCACGCAGCCCCGGAACAATAGGACCTGCGAGGGGGTGCGCGCCCCCCAGGTCTGCAAGCTAATTCTCCTTTCCTCCCACCTTTGCAGTTGCAGAGCCAGGGGCGCCCAGGGGGAGGGGTCAGCAAACCGGGAATCCAAAAATGGGGGGCAAGTCCAGGCCTTGCATTGCCAATCCTTCCCATCTTTCCAAGGCCTTCCCGGTTCCAATTTGTTTTTGCGCCTTGCCTGCTCCGTTTCTCTTTTGCAAGCCGGAGCTGGCTTTGGCGGAGTTTGCAATTTGCAAACTGGGGCGGCGGCGTTGTTACAAACCCAAAGAAGGCCGCTCCCTTGCAAAAGCAGGAGGGGGAGTTGGCGGTGC